CCTGACTCCTCATACTATTCTCTACCTTCATAAGAGCCAGATCAGGTCCAAAATGGAATACTGTTACCATATTTGAGTGGGAACTGTCCAGTGTTCACTTTCCAGTCTTGGTAGAGTTCAAAAGCATCTCTGAGTCCTTGCTGGAGAAGAATTATTTTCCACCCTCCAGCCTTTCTCTCACAGGCAGGATGTGCCAAGTCTCTCACTATTTCCATGGAAAGTGTTCAGATTAACTCCATTCCTTGGTTCCGCCAGGTCTAACCTTCACAGCTAGGACCTGCCATGCCACTTATTTAGTAGCAAACCACTGTTCTGTGGAACAGACTCACAAAAGAATGCTTCCCCGATCAGTATGATCTTAACCTGTTCAAGTTAACTGCTATCTTCCTCTCCTATCCATATAAACTACCCTTTAATATAACCCTCTACCTTGTGTGGCCCCTGGGCCTTGTACAGAGTGAACCTTACTGTTAAAAAAAAAAAAGAGGTCATTATTTTTTCTTTGAGTTACACGTGATATCCATTTTAGCTGTTGCTGCTGTTGAAAGTCCTCAAGTGATGCAGTTTCTGTCATTTGATACTGTTCTTTGATTGTGATTCTATAGCAACAGTGTTCTGATATCTGATGAGGTCTCAATCTGATAAGGTTTTTTAAGAACATGATGTAAATTTTCAGGATGATGTTTCATAAAAATGTGTAGCATTGAGTGAAACTACTTCTAACACAACCCATTCTATCATCAGTTTATATGATCAAAATTCTATGATCATTTTTTTTTCCTCTACTAAATTTGTTGTAACTAATCCATACGCCAAAGTATTTTTTATGTTTAGTATTCCCTAAATCCTGAATTCTTATGATAGATTCAGGGTATGTACCATTCCTTTTTTTTTATTACAATTCAAGATCATTGCTCCTGTTTTGGAAATGTACAGGAAATAAGAAAATTTGGAAATTGTAGGGAAACAGTTCCCATTACCATTATATAGTCCTGATTGACACCTAGGAGATATACTGACAGACAAGGTTGGCTAATATGCATAATACCATTACCTCAAATACTGATATGGGATCAATAAGTATATAAGGTTACATTGTGTTTTAAAGATTTACCTGCCTATATTTCTGAGATGAGGTATTGTAACAATTTACACTATTTATAGCATTCATATTGTTGTCCTCGTCTTTATTGCCATATTTATAACTTTTCAGCTGTTGTATGCTCCAACTTTTTTTAGGTGATATACATTGGAATTTCAAACTGAACCCTTTATTTAATCCACATGGCCCAGTGGATTAAAGCATTGGTTGAGTAATCCAAAAAGTGACTTGACCCAATGAGTTGTGAGTTCAATATCTGACCCCAGCAGAGAAAACAAAAATGGAATGTTGAGTTACTAAAAGGGAATTAACTGATACTGAAATACACAAAAAAAAACATGGCACATGGAATTAAAACAATCTACCTCCATGGACTAAATATATGGTTTGGTTTGAAATTCCAGCGTATATCACCCCTGAATAAGGTTGCAGTATACAGAAACTGAAACATTGTGAATAAAGATGACTACAACAGTCTGAACAATGTATATTGTGTAAATGGAAAAGATTTAATGCTGGGACCTTCTAATGATGAATAGTGTATTAAATCTTTTGGCTTTTTATTAAGAATAGCAAAGTTCAGGTTAATTGGGTTTGGAAACTTTTACTTTGTGATAAAAAGGAAGAGAGTTACAAAAAATGAAAACAATCATCACCAATCTAAGATAAACAGATAACAAAAAATAGTTTGAGTATTTTTTTTTTAATTGGTATGGGAGTATTTAGTGCAATTGTCAGAATTCTTGGTCAATTCAGCAACAAATTATCTTTTGTAAAATCTGAACCTTGCGAAAAAAAATCTCCAGAGACTTACAGGAGCTTGCAGCCAATGACTATGAACTACTGATAATCATTACTAATCAAAGAAAAAGTATCTGAAACATTAACAATAAAAAAAAAAATGATGATAATGATGATTATAATGCCAATTATTGTAATAAAGAAAACAATTATGTTTAGTACTGACTTTAATAAAAGCCAGACTAAGATTAAAATGAACAAGAACAGAAAAGAAACAATAAGCAAACTGATAAGAGTTTCACAACACTGGAATATTTTATGCTGAAGTGAGATTAAACCAATTGCAAAGTAAATGTCTCCAGGGATTTGATGTTTTTGCCAGGGATCAGTCAACAAAAAATAGACAATGTAGTTCTTTGATGGATCTTTGCTGAGAAGCACATGATACATTAAACCAAGAACAATCTGACAATAATCAGTAACATTATGTTACATGAGAAAGAGAAAAATATTTCTCATCATATAACAGGAATTTATCATTCAGCAAGGAAAACTTATTATATTTTAACATTATTTTGATTTGTATTTCTAATTTGATCATTTATAATTATTTATAATCTATTATTATAAATGATGAAATTAAGATTTTGTGTTAAAATATTAAAATCTCCTGTCACCTTGATGACGCCAGAATCTAATATATATGATTACACATGATTAAATTAGGATTACAAAGCAAAATAATGTTAAAATATTAAAAACTCCTATTTGACACCCAGATAATCTCAGAAGTAAATATATAGGATAAAAATGATTAAATTAGGATTAAAATCAAAATATAGAAAAAGTAACTTGTTTCTCATTTACATTATGTTAATTTCAATATCATTTTGTAACTGTTTAAAATTAAAATATTATTAACTCGTATTTGACCCTCTAAAGATCCCAGAATGAAATATAAATGATTATAAATGTTTAAATTAGGATTACAAATTCAAAATAATTTTAAAATACTAAAAGCTCCTTTTGACACCTAGATGATCCCAGAATTAAATAAATATGATGATAAATGATTAGATTAGGATTAAAAATCAAAATAATGTTAAAATATTAAAAACTCATTTTTGACACCCTGTTGATGCCAAAATTAATTATAAATGATTCAATAAGGATTATGAATTAAAATAATGTTCAGATATAAAAAAAAAATACTCTCTGTAGTTGCAAAAAGGATTGCTAAACCAACAGTTAACATAATAGAGCAACTCACTATATCACTTTAATGGACAAATTCTGTGTAGGTTGTGAAGGGCAGTAAATGACATCAGTTCATGGGGTGACTAACGTATGTTGCTATTTAGCACATATAGCAGCAAGAAATGTCTGCCCACACTAGTTGCCAGGGTTAGAACACTAAAGTACTAGACATCATCTCAAGCTCACATCAGTAGGGAGAACAGAAAAAACCCATCTGCTCCGTCTCAGGCTAATGTTCTCAACTGACATGAAGTGGAAAGACTATATTGAATTGATTGCTAGGTCAGTTGGTTCACTGTGCCATGCAGAATCTATCTTACATATCCATGTCTACCATTCGTCCATGCTTAGAATATTACTGCCACATATGGTTCAATGCCCTTATTACACCTTTAGCTCCTTGATAAAATCCAAAGAAGAATCAACAATATTATTGATCCTGACCTGGCAGCTCAGCTTCAAGCACTTTCCCATCATTGTAAGTTTCCTTCCCTGTGCTTTTTCTATAAATATTTTCATGATAATTGTTCAGATGAGCTCTTCACTATGGTACCTAGACTTTTTGAATTTAAGTGCAGCACTTAAATTTACAGTTGAGCTGGCTAAATATAGCCATAAATTTTATGCTAACAGTTTCTTTTCTCACACTTCTTGCTTGTGGGACACCCTTCCAGCTCCATGCTTTCCAGTCAACTTTAATCTACAAAAATTTAAATGCAATGTCAATCACTATCTACTGTCCTCCTGATTACTCTTTTCTGTTTCCACACATTATTAATGCTTCTGTTCCTAATTCTTCCACACCCAGTAACCCATTGTGCCTTAGTGGCTTTACTGACATGCATGGGGTGAAACCAATTAAAAAAAATATGATATCTCTTGCTTGGCCAGTTTCTCTTCAGCAAATATTACAAGTAAAACCATCTCTCTTCTTGCATTTTCACTCTGCTTATTTTATTTCTTTGTTACAAATTATATATATATATATATATATAAGAGAAATTAGTGGTAAGTATTTATATACAGTGTAACCCGGATATAAGAGAGTTGTGGGGACCGGATAGGAAGTCTCTTATATCCGGGTTTCTCTTATATCCGGGTTTGGTCTATTTTGTTTAGTTAAATATGGGAACAATGTGGGACCAGAGAAAATCTCTCTTATATCCGGGTTTCTCTTATATCCGGGTCTCTTATATCCGGGTTACACTGTATATAAATACTTATATGACACCATAGTATAAAAATCATCACTGAAAATAATGCATGTTTGTTATTCCTTTTTTTTGGCTATTTTGTTCCATCTGTTGTATTAAGGTGTTGGTATATAACGGATTTACTAATACCTATAATGGGGAAATGTCAACTGAAAATATTTATTACCTAGCACTCCCTTTACCTGCACAACATTTGGCTGACCTAAATGTAAATAATTTTATAAAAGGAGTGGCCAACATTTCATATGCAATGTGTCAATTTTGTACTTTCATTAATTCTTGTAAATATTCATTAAATAGATTTATGATTTTTATATAATTTATTGATTTAATATAAGATTCAAGATGTGAATTAATTCCGTTAATGAAACTTTTTAGTTTCTTTTCATAAACTTTTAATCTTTGGAGTGTCATTATTTACTGGCAATAGCAGAGAATTCTTTAAATTTTGGTAAATTTCTTTTTGTTTTTAATCAATTTCATTGCTTAAAATGCTTGTTTGCATCTGTAAAGATTAAAAAAAAATGGCAGATATAATCCTGAGTAAAATTTCATCAATTTTGAAAGTAAATTTTCTACTTAATAAATAAAAATAATAAAATAAACTTTATGGCCAACCCAATATATTTTTCATCTTTAGATTTTTTGTTTTCTTTAAGTATATCTCATTTCTATAATATATGTACAAGCACTAGTTTCCTATCAGTACGATTTCCAAAGTTAAGCAGCATCAAGCCTGGTCAGTACTTTGATGGGTAACCACTTGGGAATACCAGGTTCTGTAAGCTTGGATGTGCAAGTGGTGTAATGTATAATAGCTAGGAATGAGAAATCAAAGAGATGAGATTACAGGCAAAACATTCGTTCCTATATAATTACAGAAGTTAAGCAACTTTGAGCCTAGTCAGTACCTAAATTAGTGACCCCTTGGGAATACCAGGTAATGTAAGCTTGGGTGGTGGGTGGTGTAATGGAATGAGAAATTAGTGAGATGAGCTTATGGCCACATCATGTTGAAACATTGGTTCCCATCTGATACAAATGAATGATTTAGTGATACTAGTCTTACTAATTAACCCATATCTAGTGAGAGGTGTTGGATTCATACTTTTACCAAAGGTATTTGCACATAAGTGAATGTAACACACACAAATTAGAACTCAGATCTCTGATTAACAATTCCTTATCTATTGCACCACCTGCACATCCAAGCTTACTGTAGCTGGTATTCCCAAGCAGTCACCCATCTAGGTACTGACCAGGCTCAACACTCCTTAACTTCAGTGATCATACAGGGAATGGTATTTCAAGGAAATATGGCTTTAAGGCACACAATTATCTGAACCAAGATTTCTCCTTCTTTCCCTTGCAACTGATCTCTTTGGAAGCAAAGTGCTAATTTGGGTTTTCATTCTAACCCTTTTTCCATGTGAAATTTATGACAAGTTACTCTCAAACACAGTCATACTGAGGATGTGGCCCTTATACTGAGGATGTGGCCCATGCTATATTCCTTCCCTGGATTCCAACAAAGAGGGAACCTTACAAATATGCCACAAGAATATTCCAAACACCCAACAACATTGAAGAAACTACAACACATAACTGCTAAGAAAAGACCTTGATGATATCTATTCATCTGCAGAAAATGATTTCATAAATGACAAAATCACACATCTTCACAGAAATAAGAATGCCATGCTATATGGGAAACTATAAGAGATATCTGATAAAAGTGGTAAGCCATCAGTTTGAATTAAAGAAGGTTCTTGGGGGAAAAAACACTTTGAATTGGTCTTAGCACTCCAAAGACCAACTTGACAAAGAACCAAACTTCCTTGAAAATATTAGCCTCTTAGACATTATAATCCTTGACATATGAAATTGAAGCTTTTTTGAATTCATTCTAACTGAACTTTAAACTGTCATTAAGCCACAAAAACATAATAAAGCTTTTGGTCCAGAAACCATTAAACCTATCATCTAGACAGACAACTTTTTTAATGAACTTTTATTGGAAATATGTAATTTCTGTTTCATTAATAAAACTTGTCCATCCATTTAGTACTACTCTCAAATAATTCCTGTACCAAAAAAATGGTATGCAATTTTTAATCTTCACAAAAAATACAATGTGTCAAAAAGACTGTTTTTCCTTTGATACCACTATTATTGTAACTACCTTCACTCCTCAGAAATGTTTATTGTTTTAAAAAATGTTGATTAGAATTTTAATAAAACCTAAATATACAAAAGTGATTTTGTATAATTCCTTTGTTTTTGAGAATATATAAACACTATTCATTATATTGTTTATTTGAATGGTTGGTAAAACATCAGCTAATTGCCAATCGATTCAAACTTTGTAAAATGGTAAATAATAAGGATTTCCTTGTAGTTGGTTTGCATATTTTATTAACTTAGTAAATGTTTGCAAATTTATGAATAAAAAAATTTGTTTTCATATTTGTTTCTTTATAAATTGGTAAATGATAAATCTTGCATTGCATTTGTTTTGATAGAATTGTATTAGTTTTTAGAATGTCGCAAATATAAAATTATTGCAGTTAAACAATCTGTTAGTGTTTAATATTTTGTTGTCATTCTAAAGAACAAAAAATGTATAAACTGACTTTCATCCTATAATTATGCTTTATTACAATTCTAATAATCGCTTTTTAAAACAATAAACATTGCGAAGGAGTGACGGTAGTTAAAATAATATTGTTATCAAGGGAAAAACTGCCCTTTTGATACTGTTTTTTTGCAATCATGAAGGTTAAAGATTTCTGAAGGGTAATTTATCCTTAGCTACTAATTATAGAAGTATATCAGTACTTCCAAATACTTATAAAATCTATTAAAATCTATTATAAATTAATCCTTAGTTACATTATTCATTTTGTGAGCCTCTTCTGCAGAATGGATTTTGGAAGTAGGAAAACTGCAATCAGTCAAATTTTAACTTTTTATCAATCATTTCACTTCAAGCAAGGGAATAAAAGCCACTAGGGGTTACTGAGGCTAAAAGAAACAGAGAGGAAAATAAAAGAACAGGATTTAAGGAGACAGAACATGATGATTGACAGTGCAATATATTCTGCATGAATTAAATTTTCCAAGCCATGCTTTCTCACGATATGGCTCATAAATTTCAACTCACTTTTTGATATCTGTCTATTTCTGAGATGAGGTATTGTAATTATTTACACTATTGCCCTCATTTTTGTTTCTATATTCATAATGTTTCAACCATTGTATGCTCTGGCCTACTTCAGGTGATTGAAATTTCAAACCAAACCCTTTATTTGGCCCAGTCGATAAAAGCGTTGGTTGAATCCAGGGACTTGCCTAGAGCAGAGGTGAACAAAAAATTTGGAGAGCTGAGTTAATAGAGAGATAACAGATACTGAGATATCCAGAAGAGGCATGGCATGTGGAACTAGAACACTCTACCCCAGTGAATGAAATAAAGGGTTCAGTACAAAATTCCAGTCACCTGAAGAGGGCCAAAGAGTACAATGGTGAAAACATGAATATGGCAACAAAGATAAGGACAATAGCATGACCAATGTAAATAGCATAAATAATCCCTTTCTGATAATACGTATGAATCTCTTTTAATTCCCAATTCCTTTAGAACTTCTTCATTGTTCAATGCCACAAAAGAACTGCTATTAAATTGCTTGTAGAATTAGTATGACTAGTTTTAAAATCAATTTTATAGCAGTTCTAACACAACTCTGACAAACAGTTTTAACACTAGTCTAAAAAACAATTCTAATACCAGTTCTAACACTAGTCCTACAAACAGATCTATATCAGTTCTAACATGAGTTTCACAAGTAGATCTACAGCAGTTCTACTTTTAGTCGTACAATCAGCTCTAACACTAGTCTAAAAAGAAGTTCTAATACTAGTCCTACAATAGTTCTATATCAGTTTTAACATTAGTCCTACAAGCAAATCGGTACCTTTTCTACTTTTAGTCCTACAAGCAGTTCTAACATTACACCTACAAGTAGTTCTATAGTAGTTCTAACATTTGGCATATGAAATGTTCTAACACGAGTCCTACAGTTAATTTTATAGTAGTTCTAACAATAGTCCAACATTCAGTTCTACTGCTGAATTGGTCATTCAAGGTTAGATGTGTAGGTACAACACAAACTTTGCTGCATCAGTGAACATCAAAATCAGTTCATCTTTTTATATATTCATTTTTTAAAGTCAAAACTAAATATATGAATAAATAGTTTTAATATCAGCCTTTTTACATTAATTGAGATTTTCCATAAAATTTCATAATATTTCATATATATATATATATATATATATATAGTAAAAAAAGAAAGAACAAGATATATAATCTGGTGTTTTTATTGGTATTTTTATTCTTACAAAACAGTGCTCAATGTAAACTTACAGAGCATAAATACTATAAATTAACTGATTTAAAAATATGGTTCCTTTGCTTCACAGGAATTACCATGTTTCAAAAACCAAAGCTAAAAATTTCAAATTTAATTATATGATTAAATTAAAAGCATTAGTTCTGTTTCATCTTCAAGAGAATTTTGGAATAACTTATTTTTAAATTTACTGAGTTTTAAAAGCACATACATTCATAATTCTTTGTTTCTAAAGATACAAGAGAAATCCAATCACTTAGACGGGGCAGTAGCATATTCATTTTTATTAACTATTATTGTATCAATTATGAGTTACATTTGAAGAAATCGGACAAAGCAGGAAACTTCTATAAAATAATGGCAAGGGACTACAATGATCTAATTAATAAAGATTTACATAAGAACTATAAAAAGGCAAATAATAATTACCTCAATATGGTGGATAATACTAACACTGGAAGTAAAAAAAATCACATAAACTGAAGATTAGTGATAGAGTAGGTAAACTTGCTGAAAAAAGTGCTATATAAACTAAAGGACCACAAACCAGATTTCAAAGTTAATCCAATGACAAGGATAATAAACCCAACAAGACCTGAGATTGGCAAAATAAGTAAAAAGATCCTAGAAAGGGTTAATCAACAAATTAAAGAAAAATAGGGCTGAAACTTTGGATTAATATCAAAGACGTGACAAACTGGTTTGCTGATATTAAAAATAAAAGTAACTGGACACTAATGCTGTTTGATATTGAAAATTATTATCAATCAATATCTAAAGAACTGTTCATGAATGCATTGGAGTTTGCTACCCAGTACACTGACATAACAGAAGAAGAAAGGAGCATTATTATAAATGTGAAAAAATCGGTACTGATATATAACGATGAGCAATGGATAAAAAATTCTTATGAACACTTTGACATCACAAAAAGATCACTAGACTGAGCTGAGTCATCTGACCTTATAGGTCTTTTTATATTATACAATCTCACAGCATATCATGAAATTAATACAACTGACATTGGTTTATACAGAGATGATGGACTTATGGTTATAAAGAACTCTACTAACTTTAAAATCGACAAAATTAGAAAGATATTATATAAAGAATTTATATGCCTGAACTTAAAAATTACAGTAAGCACTAAATTAAAAAAAAGTTAACTTCCTTGATATAACATTAGATTTAATGAAAAATGTATACATACTTTATAAAAAAGACTAATATTAATCCTTTATATATACACCCTAAATCTAATTATCCTCCATCTATAATCAAGCATATACCTTTATCTATCGAAAAAAGAATAAGTACCAATTCAGCAAATAAGAAGATTTCCTATGAACATAGTAATTTCTATAATAAAGCTTT